CGATTCAGTCAATTTAGATGAGAAAAATTAGTAGAGCGATAGATTGAAAGAAATATTTTTTTTCTTTCTAAAAGAATGTTTCTCTCTTTTTTTCTCTAAATAAGAGAATACAAAAGTTGCAATATGTTTTTTTTTCTTTCTTTTTATTCTAGTACACATAACATAATAAAAAGGTCATGTATATAGGCTATAGGAATAAAAACTTTTGGGAAGAAATAATTGCAATCATTAAGAGTAATTAATTATTGTAAAAACGATAAAAAAAACTTCTTTTATAAATGATGTAATCGTTTGTTAATTTATTAAAATAAATATAGTTATTTTAACCATAACATTTTAATTTACCTCATTAATCATGCATTGAATACTTTATTATTATTGTTATTTAATAATAATAAGTATAGTATTCTATATTTTGTTAAAAAATAATCCAACAATCCCCGCTTATTTTTTAACAAAATTCTAGCCATATATATATATATATCACCAAATCAACCAAATCATATGGCACATAAGAACACCATTTGGCCCATTATATATCACCAAATCAACCAGCCTCGAATAAAAAATTCAAAATCTTGCCTAATTTTGTTTCGGATTCCAACATCCGTGGCAGCCAGTTAGACTACTTGCACGTGGTTCAAAAGGCTGTAAATTCTCGTAGATTAAATGCCGTGAACATCCCATTTTCTTAAGTAGTTTTGTTTTTGCATCAGAACTTTTTTGTAAGCCCAAAAGTATTAGTGGGCTGGATACAACATGTTCAACCCCAACTCCATACTCCTAGTCCTAATAGCTGTGAATACTGTCGGCGATGAAAAAAATTGGTTGTACGTAAGAAACCCCGACCAATCGTGCCAGGATTATAGTTAATATGATTCTATTTTAAATCTTAATCAACTCAATACATTTTAATTTACTTAAAAGTTTTTGATATAATATTCGAGTCGGAACTAACAATATCATATCTCATGTTAAATCGACACGACTCTTAATTTCAGGACATGATAATAATTTAATAAGATTTCATAATAAATAATAATTAATTAATATATCAAGAGTACCCACTCAAATAAATAAATAAGAAGAATTAATTTTTTAAATTAATTTCAAATTTTCATTGATCTGGGCTAGAAGGGTCAAAACTCTCCTACACTTTAATTTATTTAAAAATCAATTTCTAAATTTTTGGTTTTTGTTTTTGACATTTCTTAACTTTATTATTATTATTATTATTCTTTTGAAATTTAGTTTATTCTATGATTTTGGGCTATCAATCCTCTCTTTTAAAAAACTCAATTCTTGGTATTTTGATATGAAGTTTTGATTAAACGTTAGAAAAAATCCAATCCAATTTCTAAAAAAATTACAAATTTGGGAATTATATTTGTTTAATTTTTGAATATTAAAAATATAAAAAATCAAGAAAAATAGAAAATAATTTAGAATAATCCTAGTTTTTTTGGAGACCTCTAAATAAATCTCACAATATAATTTTAAGATAATGTGCGGTTTCTAAAATAGCATATTATGTTGTCACATATCACCATGATGCTGAAGTTTCTCCTACTTGACCAAATGGGAATGAAGGTATCGAATTTTTGTCTTCAGTCTTGAATAGCCAAGTCTCAAGTCTTTTTGAATTGATTAATGCCCCTTCCTAGCCATTTCTTTTTTAACTTCTAATTTGAACCAATATACTTGTTGTTGTCTGAACTAGTTAATACACTTGACTCATCTTAATAAAGAAACAGAAAATGAAGGACCTGGATACAGAAAAGTAAATGGAGATGGTAATCGTCTTGACTCATCTCCCCAATGATATGCTAAAAAGCTGCGTTCTTCAACTTCTTTGTGCGCAGAAGGCACCAAAGGGTTCTCCTGTACAGACACCTTAAAGAAGGTAAATTCTTCTCTGCAATTATTTGATATAGAGATTCTTTTGAGACTAATAGAAAGAAAAAGACAGCGTAATTTCTTTTATTCATTTGTGTGCATGCATTTAAGGGCTCCAGGTCTCTTCATTTGCACACGTGATGAGTACAGAATCAAACTTGTCCGGTGATGCATCCTATAGAATTTTCTGTAGACTTTAATCTATCCAGGTGCTTTTGGGTTAAAATTAAGCATTCAAAAACTTCAATATTCAAATTTCAACAAATTCCTTATTCCAAATTAGAAATAAAGCCACAAACGCCTATTAAGCAGAAACATAAGGCAAACAACATTGTGCTTACATTAAACATACTATATATAGAACTACATTAGATATAAGCAAAAGGGATGAGACCGCGAAGTGTATAACACACTTCTATTAACTGCAGTAGTCCTAGAATTATTCCTCCTATTCAGCATTTTTTCCTTCAAGTCTCTCCATGTGGCATCTTAGTTTCGTCACATCTGATATTTGAAGAGGCTTCAATAGGAATTGTTGAGCTCCTTCCTCCAAGCACCTGTTTAGGTGGAAAAGATTTATCAAATTAATGATTTCTTTTTCTTGAAAAAAAAATGATAAATTCCAACAAGAGACGAAACGAATGGAGATTTTAGTGTAGATAATTACTGTTTAATTCTCGTAGGGATATTCTCGGATGACACTATAACTACAGGAATCTCCTTCGTGGTCGGTGATTCCTATTAGAGAGAAACCATACAAGATTATATTAGAAATAAAAGAGGAGGATGCTTGCTTTATTGGAGATGAGTACTAATATTTACCTTAATTCTTTTCAGTAGTTCATAGCCTGTCATTTCTGGCATGCTATAATCGGTTATGATCATGTTCACCTTTAAATCCTACAAATAACCGCATGGATTATAGATGATAGAGTTGAATTTATACACATAAGCAAGAATTAGTCCTTAATTCATTGTATGACTACTTTACTTACAGTATGATTAGGGTGTTGTCTATCGGCTAACCCCAAATATTCTAGTGCCATCTTCGCATTTTCTGCCGTGGTCACTGCCATCATCAAGGAAATGAAATTGTGATAACAAAAAACGTCTATTGACGCCTATAAAACTCAGAGTTAGGCATTAATCTATCTCTGTTAATTAATTAGGGTTAATGAGAAACGTGCTCATTGGGGTTCAAAATTCTCCGAACCCTTGCTAGTTGCTACGTACCTACCTCTAGAGTGCAAACAAATCGATCCCTCTCAACAACGTACAAGGAGAAACCACATCAGATCAAAATTGTCATTTTCTTTCTCGATTTCCTCAAAGTGAAAAAATGAAAACAGAAGGTGTGGTGTGGTTTAGTCCTTACCAATGTCCACTTTAGTAAGAAGTCCTTAGGCATCTGCCACGCACCCTGGTAAGAACTTTCACAGTGCATGGCCTTGCCAACTTTTGAAGTGGAAATCATGTTCTCTATTGAACTAGCTATCCTAGCAATGAGAGTCTAGTGATTGCAATCAATTATTCATGACTTGCCGTCTTTTCTTTTTGCAAATGATGTCATGTACTCTACTTAGATACTAGATAATAAGAAAGTATAATTTTATCATAAATCAATATTATCTTTAATCTTACAACACCATGGGTAAAACTACGAAACTTGTAACAAGGTTCACCAAAACCCCATGAACAAAGATGAAAAGTGATAAAATATGTCACATAATGTCTTTGCTTGACAAACTTTACCAACAGATAAAAAACAAAGTTACTAGAGAGAAGAGAAGTTGTTTTCAAGGAGAATATATGATAAGTAAATAAAAAGAGAATATATTTTATGAATGACAAAGGAACATCATTTCCATACCTTTAAATGCAGAGTGTGCGAGTAGCATTTCAATGATTTTCCGATCTACCGAACTGTCATCAACAGCTAAAACATGTGGTTTCTCATCAAAATCAAACCCCGTTGATGGTGAAGAAGAAGAAGAAGAAGAAGATGATGATGATGATGATGAAAAGGAGTTGGCCATATCTACGTTCAAAGAGTAACCACCTCAACAAAACATAAAAGAAAAGGAAAGAAAAGTAACATTGGAAGAAAAAAGAGACAAATAGCTAAAAAAGAAAAAAGACTGCCAAAAAGAGAGAACAAACAAGACGAGAAGGAAAGAAGACATAGAGGGTAATGTAATGTAATGTAAGGCGATAGATAACCCATGTCAAATCAATAAAAGTTTGGTTGAGGTGGTTTTTATCTCCTGAGCAAGCAACAATACTTGCGAATTTATAAGAAAACATGAAGGATAATAATAAGAAAAAGTAAAGAGTACCAGGGTAAGGCGTGAACTGTGAACATTATTATCAGTGAAGACAGTAAACAAAACAGTGATAAAATCATGAGCCAGAGATACTTGCTGATATTTTTAGGTCGTTGGGATTTTTATTGCAGATGTAGAAAAAGCTAAATAGATACCTTCTTGTTTTTGTTTTTCCCTCTTTTCAAGGGATCTCTCAACCAAAAGACACTGTCTATTTTACTACACTTGTACCTATTTCCTATTTCACCTCCTCACAGACAACACATACATAGTTGATTTGTTCAAATATTGTTACTGCCTAATTAATAGGCGTTTGGACATGCATTTCTTAAAGGCACAAATTCATGCAGGTACCATTAATTTTTCTTTTTTCTTTTTACAGTTATCATGGCATATTTTGTTGACATATATTAATTATATTAGAAGAGACTAAATTATTTTTCCGAATAATTTTAAAAGCATAGCATTTATATGAATAAATTTCTCAAAATATACTGTTTTCAGGTTCCAAGTTTCAAATTTAAAATAATTTTATTTGTAATATATCACAGGTAGGTTTTATCAACTTTCACCAAAATACACGTGTCATGAGATAGTACTGTATATTATCAAATCTATTTGTGGAGTCCGTTGATGAACATGGTAGTTAACATGTTATGGTCCTAGAAAGAGGTCTCGTTTCTGTATAGGCGCAGGATCTAATGCAATTTGCTGTAAGAAACAAATGCACAGGGGAACGTGATTAAATAACATGGTTCTTGGTCGGTAAAGTAAGTGAAAATGGCTTGGTCTGTAATTATATTATCAAATCTATTTGTGGAGTCAGTTAATTTTGAACCCACAACAGTTCTCCTTCATTAATCATCTTTATCTTTGCATTCTCATCTTTCTTGTCTTTTTTTTTATATTTTTTTTTCAAATTTTAAATCCTTATTTTGATCGATCGATCTTTTTTCTCTAGCAAAAGAAAGAAAGAAAAAAATCATCTCGAAGAAAATATGCACCGAGACTTCTCAACTAATAGTTCTCAAATGTCAAATCGAAGAACCCAAAAATGCAAACAATTTTAGGAGGGAATGAAATTAAATGAAGTACGAACAGTCTAGTTTGTTTTGCCAGAGAAAGATTGGATATTTTCTATTTTAAAAATAAGAAATTTTGACATAGTAATTAAAACAAACAATTCAGTTTTCAAACTAGATTGGTTTCTGGGATTTGCTCCCATGCCTTCCCTGGAACCAATTTTGGTTTCCAGTTTCAGTTTTGAACTTCAACCAACTGGATTCTTAGCTAATTAACTCCTGCTCCACTCATTGAATCCAAACTACGCCACAGGAACACAACACACACCCTGCAAATCAAAACTTTCTGGGTTTGATTAAGGTGTTTCTGGTTTTAGGATCAGACGAAGAACAATAACTTAGAAGGAAGCAGAGGGTTGCTCCTCTTTCATTGTCACTGTCCCATCATCAATCAACGTTGGGTAATCCCCTCCTCCTTTTTATCTCCGCACACACTAACCCCTTTCCCTTTTTGCTTCTGGTTCGTCAAGAGCCAGTGATGGCAGTGGCTTAGCCATGGCCATCACACGAGGAGAGATCGTCATGATCTCTACATCTGTCTGTTGAAAGACAGATGAAGATCGCAAGGAAGAAACCTTCTGAGTTTCTTCTTGATGATCGATGGAGGAGGACCATTTATGTGTGGCTGGGCTGGACTGTTTTCAGTCCAGCTAGTCAAAAAATTGGGCTGGACTGATTCTGGTTCAGCCCGAACCAAAAAAAAAAAAAACAAAAAGGAAAAAGAATTGGACTGATTGATTTAAGTAGAACTGGAGTACAGAAAAGCTACTTAAAAATCTGTGCTTCTTCTATTCATGTACTTTTTGAGCTGTAGAAGCATGGAGTGTAGAAAAGTTCAGATATTATAATTACTTAAAAGAGCACCCATTGAAGTCTATACTGCCAATTTACTGTGAAGGAAAGAGACCACAATGAACGAAGGAATATTTGCCGAGATCAGTTTTCCCTGAGAAAACGACAAAGGCTCTTGAAACCGATGAACTTGGAGACAATTGGTACCCAGCTCATGAAGGAGGATTTGTTCACACCAATAGCCTTCTTGCAAAGCGGGAACTCAAGGATGTTTTGTTATCTCCACTGCACAAAATGGTTAGATTTCTTTTACCGAAATATTATTTCAGTAGTAGGGGATTTGGAAACAAGGACCCTCTGTTTCTCTGACTAGCTTTATACCAGATGCCAATTTAAACCTTCACAATCACGTGGTAGATCATCTCAAACATGTTATTATTTCATACTTTCAGTTGACCATCCATGAATTCGTCTATTTAAATATTCAATCTTTGATTATATTTTTTTCTTTTTTTGGTTATATCCACAATCACATGAAAGTATAAAATGTTGACATGTTTGGAAGGGAGTATTGTGAAGTAACGGAGACAGAGGGACAGTGATTGTCAATTAAATGCTTTAACTTTGCAAATCTTATCTCATAATGATGGCTACGTATTACAAAGGCAAGCCACGGTGACGACAAAAGCTCATTCTGAACCATCAAAAAGTAATAGTCCTTTCACTTCTCTTTGCCTTTAGTGATGCCTGTGCTATCTCATGCAACCAGAATTGCTTCTCAATTCATGTTGCAGGTTTTGGAAACTCTCTAGCTAGCACTTCACGAGGCTCCTACTCCAAGAAAATCTATAAATGGTGGTGATGCAGTGATCCCCAAAGGGTTAGCTTCAGGGTTCTCTGCAACTGATAGTGATGATGATGATGGTTCACTGACTGTGGCTTGAGTTGCTGGTGATGCCATGGAGTCTGAGAAACCTAAAAAGGGATGGCTGATTGATTTTTGCATGGCATCGAAAACAGAAACAGTGCATGTGTTGCTACTCCTTAGCATATTGCAGTGCTTGTTGTGACTGAAAATCTCATCATTCTTGTGACCTATGAATTTGCAATTGATCCATATAGATATGGAAGTGAAAAAATACTTGACAAACAAACAGAGGATATCACCCATAACAACTCAACTAAATGAGAGTAAAAATTTATATGATGCTTCATGGGTCTTTGGCAAATGTTATTTCAGTCCAACTGTTGTGTAGTATTACTGATGGCTGCTCTAAAAATCTCAAAAAAACAATGAAAAGCGGAAACATTAAAAGAATAACATAGGAAACATATGCTGTGCACTATCAAGGAACTCAAAACAAGTCAAGGATTACATGAACACGAAAAATTTAATCATGACGAGCTTTAAACTCAAGGGGTCAGGGCTTTTTATAAACAAATATTTATGAAAGAAGGTGCTAAATTTAATGTAAAGAATCCAATGAGAGGAAGCACATGCAGAAGCACAGATGAATAAAATGCATAGAATAAATGACAGTATAGAAAAGTGGAGTGACAAAAGGTGCAAACCTGAAAAGAAACCAGAAGGTGTCTCTTCTGCAAGAGATCCATGGTGAAGAAAGAGCAAATTGCTGCTTCTCGAAAACAAGAGTCCTGCAGTCATCTGGCAAGACCTATTAGAGCCACCAATCGGAGGTGCAAATGGGAGGCAAGATGGTTTGATGATGCTGCTACTGCAGATAATGTTTGAGTTGGCTTCTGAGTTCATGGCTGTATTTCTTCTCACCGAATCAACAACACTCTCTACCCTTTTTTGACCAGCTTGGGTACGCTTTCTGCTCCTATAAATGCTCGATTGCTCTCTGTATTTCCTAGCCATTACAACATGCCAGTGATTTTTAACAGCATTATCAGTCCTCCCTGGGAAAAATCTAGCAATCAAGGCCCATTTGTTACCATAAACTCTATGAGCTGCCATTAGCCTTTCTTCTTCCACTTCATTAAAAGCTGTTCTGTTGATCTTTGGATCCAATTGATTGAACCATCTCAATCTACAGCTCTTACCTTCAAACCCAACAAAGAAGACAAGTAAAACAAAATGTGCACAATAAGCAGAAACATTAAAAACCTTTGGGTAAACCAAAAACGAAACACTTAATGGGGACATGCATTCAGCTTGTTTAATTACCTGATCTTCCTTGCAACTTTTCTGCTATAAGGTTCCAGTTTTGAGGTCCATGAAGAGCAACAAGTTCCTTAAGTTTAGAGTCCTCTGCTGGTCTCCAATGACCTCTATTACAAACCTTCGACTTCCCACCTTCAATTGTTTCTTTCCCGCTCACTAAACTCTCCTTAGTGTTTTCTATATGTGCAGCATTGCGTTTGTGTTTTCTCCTATCATCACCAACTTCATTATATTGGTCATTCTCCACCCTACTGCTGCAGCATTTGCCAGCTGCAAGTACAAAACCCATTGGGGCCTTGCCAAAACGCTGAGAGGAGCAAGTATTCTGTGGGAGTCTACTGATGGGATCAAAAGAGAGAGAACCCATGTCGTTAAAAGTTTCCAGTGGCAGTGCTGATGAGTTGCAAGGCGTAGTAGTCGTAGAGATGGTATAATGACTGGGAATGCCATCATTTTCTTGATGACAGTTAGTGATGATGTTGTGGAAGTGTTGCAAGGTCAGCTTCATGGGCCAAGAAAAAAGAGTGCAGGATAAAACAGTGAAAGAAAGCAATAGAGATTGGAAGCAAAGGAAAGCAAGCTCTGCAAATGTGTTTGCGTTTTGTTTCTAGTTGTAACAGAAATCCACAGGACTCCGCGTCCTGTCCTGTCCTGCCAAGTAGTTTCAGTGTTTCACTGCTTTTACCGACTCTGACCTCTAATTTGACTCTTTCTGTATCGCATTACCTTAGAAATTAATATGGTTCAATTTTTATTAGGCCTCCAAAGTCTAACAAAGTAATCGATCTCACCCTTGAATAATGGTATATCCAATAGTACTCCTCCTTGCAATTGCAAAAGTGAGAAAATTTAATAACAAATGTAATGCTAAGTAGCATCTCCGTCCTACATAAGTCACATGCTCAATTGTAATGTGCTCTTTAATACTTCCTCTTTTTTTATAAAAAAATAATTATTCTTTTTAATTTTATCATACAAATTGAAAATGTTGTTAATTATTATGTTATTACTGAAAAATGATTCAAACTCTGTCATGTCACAGTACATGTGTCCTATGTTTAAATCTATTGTTTTATTTGCGGTTATTAGTCAAATAACAAACTACACCTATTTAGGTGGTTAGTTGCCGAGTTATTCATTTTCGGTTAGAGTCTATTTTTAGTAAACTTTTATGTATAAATAAGGTAATCACGGATTCAATAAATGACTAAGAGAGAACTTTTACTTCTATATCTTTGTTTCTCCTTTGTCTTGTCAATTTATATTTAACATATTGGTATCGGAGTCGACAATAGGGAGAGTTAAGAGAGTGTGCAGCGACAACTACATTTCTTAACGCACGTGAGAATATTTTTTAAATGGCTACGACAACAATTTTATGCGGCACTGCTATTCTACGTTTTGATGGTCATTATGATCATTAGAGCATGCTGATGGAAAATTTTCTTCAATCTAAAGAGTACTTGCAGATTGTTGAGAATGGCATCACGGAACTAGCAACAAATGCAATGTTGATCGATGCACAACAAAAGGAGCTTGAAGGGCGGTAGCTAAAAGATCTAAAAGCTAATAATTACTTGTTCCAAGCTATTGATCGCTCCATTTTGGAAACAATTCTTCACAAAGACACCTCGAAACATAAATTTGGGATTCCATGAAAAAGAAGTATCAAAGGAATGCAAGGGCGAAGAGGAAGCGACTACAAAATCTTCGTGCAAAGTTCGAGACCTTGCGGATGAAAAATGGAGAATCGGTTTTAGATTATTTCTCTAGGACAATGGCAATTGCAAATAAGTTGCGGATCCATGGTGAAAGATGAAGGATGTCGGTATAATTGAGAAAATACTTCGATCAATGACAACAAAGTTCAACTATGTTGTTTGCTCGATTAAAGAGTCTCGTGATCTTTATTCACTTTCCATTGATGAATTACAAAATTCTTTGCAAATTCATGAGATGAAGATCAATAAACAAGATAAAGAGGAGCAAGCACCTGCAGCCAGTTTTAAAAGCTTTGGACGAGGAAAGGGCTAATGGAAAGGCAAAGGAAGAAATATTAAGTCGGGGAGGGACATGATAGGGCGAGGTCCAAGGAAATGGAGAGGATCGGATCGAGTCACCATGTAGCGGACTCGAAGGCTAGGTTTGGAAAAAAAATCAATGTTGAATGTTTTTGTTGTCATAATTTTGGCCATTACCGTTCGAGTGTTGTACAAACTTAAGCAAAGGTGTAAGATCCAATTTGGCGAGAGACAAGTTGAGAAGGAGGAGGAAGTCACCTTACTTATGGTGTGCCATCTTAAAGAAGATACCCACACAAATAAATGGTATCTTGATACCGACTGCAACGAACCACATGTGTGGAGATAAATCTATCTTTAGTGATCCGGATGAGTCTTTTCGAGACAAAGTGAGGTTTGGGGATAATTCAATTATCTCGGTTATGGGCAAAGGAAAGGTAAACATCCGGACCAAGGCTAACTCAATACATACTATTTCGATGTATTTTTTGTTCTAGACTTGAAGTCAAATCTTCTTAGCGTGGGTCGGCTTCAAGAAAAGGGTTATGAAATCGGTATTAAGAGAGGAGAAATCCGGGTTCGTGATTCAAAACTTAGTCTTATTGTAAAGGTTAACACGACACCTAATCGCATGTTTCCTTTGTATTTGTAAAATATCAAATCATCCCGCTTGCTTGCTTGCTTGCAAAAAGGAAAGATGAAGCTTGGCTTTGGCATTTGCGGTATGGGCACTTGAATTTTGATGGTTTGAGAACACTACAACAAAAGAAAATGGTGATGGGTCTTCCTCAATCCGATGCTCTTTCGACTTATGTGAAGATTATGTTGTTAACAAGCGACACGGGATAGTTTTCCAAAAAGCAAGACTTGAAGAGCAAAGAAGGTGCTTGGAACTTATTCATTTTGATTTATGTGGACCTATAAATCCAGCTTCAAATGGAGGTAAACGTTATTTCATTACCTTTGTTGATGATTTTAGTCAAAAAACATGAGTCTACTTCTTGTAGCACAAATCGAAGCTGCGAAAGTTTTCAAAATGTTTAAGGTACTAGTGGAAAAAGAAGTAGATAGACCTATTAAGGTTCTTCGTACGGACCGTCATGGTGAATATAACTCACAAGAATTTGTTAATTTTTATGAAACTTATGGAATCAAAAGGCAACTCACGGTAGCTTACATACCTCGACAAAATGGTATATGTGAAAAAAGGAATCGAACCATCATGAATATGGTGAGATGTTTCTTGTCAACAAATGGCATCCCAAATGAATTTTGGCTAGAAGTAGTTAATTCGAGTGTCTATATTTTGAATAGATGTCCTACCTTTTTTGTTCAAAATATGACACCAACCGAGGCGTGGAGTGGACGTAAACCAACGAGTTGATCATTTTAGAGTATTTGGGTGTGTTGCATATGCCCATGTTCCGGATAAAAATAGAAGCAAATTGGATGACAAATGGGAGAAATGCATTTTTCTTGGTGTTAATTATCATTCAAAAACATATACATTGTTTAATCTTATCACTAAGAAAATTATTATTTCCCGTGATGTAGTTTTTGATGAAGATAGCGCTTGGGTTTGGTCCGAAAAAGAAGGTGATAAGCCAATTCCTGTTGATTTTGATGTTGAAGAAAGGGAGAATAAGCAACAAGTTACGGAGGAAGAAGCAACCATGTTACCAATTACTTCTACAGAACCGCAGACGAAGCTGAATCTATAGCTCGTCCTCAACGCAACAAGAAAAGACCAGTTTGGATGAGTGATTATGAGGTATCAAGCTTTCCTCAATTTAATCAAACGAAACTTATTTTGCTTTGTTTTTAGATTGTGATCCTTTAAGATTTGAGGATGCTTGCTAGTGATGCTAAATGGTAAAAAAGCTATGATATAAGAAATTGATGTTATTGGGAAGAATAAAACATGGCAACTAGTGGATCTTCCCGAAGAAAAAAGTCAAATTGGTTTGAAGTGGGTATTTAGAATAAATTTTCATGTAGATGGAAGTGTACAGAGACATAAAGCAAGACTTGTTGCAAAGGGATACTCACAACGACAATGTGTTGATTTTGAAGAGACATTTTCACCTGTTGCACTATTTGAAACGGTGAGAATTCTCTTAGCTATTCATTGTACAATTAAGTTGGCCCATTTATCAATTTGATGTCAAGTCAGCCTTTTTGAATGGTGAACTAGAGGAAGAAGTTTATGTCGACCAACCGAAGGTTTTATTCAAAAAGGCAAAGAAAAAAAAGTGTACGGAGTTGAAAAAGGCTCTTTATGGGTTGAAGCAAGCCCTCAAGCTTGGTACAACAAAATTGACACTAATTTTCAAGAAACTGGGTTTGCAAGAAGTGCTAATGAGCCCACACTTTACTTGAAGAAACAAGGTATGAATGATTTTCTTGTCGTCCGCCTTTATGTCGATGACATGATTTTTATGGGCTCGTCTAAATCTATTATTGTTGAATTCAAAGAAAGTATGATGAAGACTTTTGAGATGACGATTTAGGATTGTTGTATTATTTTCTTGGTCTAGAAGTAAAGCAATGTGATGATGGAATTTTCATCTCACAAATGAAATATTCAAGTGAGCTTTTAAAAAAATTTGGCATGGCCAATTGTAAAGCAACGAACAACACTTATGAATGTGAATGAAAAATTACAGTTTGAAGATGGTATGGAAAAGGCAAATGAAAAGCTTTTCGAGAGTCTAGTTGGGGGTTTGAATTATTTAACCAATACTATACCATATATTTCATTCTCTGTAGGTACAATCTCCGAGTTCATACATGAACCATCAAAGCTTCATTTTGGGGCTACAAAGAGGATTCTACGATACGTCGTTGGAACACTTGATTTTGGAATTTTGGATTCCAAAGTGGCTGAATTTTGTTTGGTGGCCTATACGGATAGTGATTGGGCAACTTCTTTGGATGATAGGAGAAGTATTTCTAGCAGTATATTCACACTTGGATCATGAGCTATTACTTGAAATTCTAAGAAACAAGCAACAATTGCCTTATCATCTTTCAAAGCCGAGTATGTAGTGCAACATCTTCAACATGTCAAGCTATTTAGTTAAGAAAGATCCTCACCGATCTTAATCAAAGACAAAAGAATGCAACCGAGCTTTTTTGTGACAATAAAGTTGCAATTGCTATGGCAAAAAATCTAGCATTCCATGGGAGGACAAAACATATTGATATAAAGCATCACTTCATTCGGGAGCTTGTAGCGAGATGGAACTATCGGTTTGAAGTATTACAACACAAATTCTCAAATTGTAGATATCTTCACCAAATCACTTCCTCGAGCTAAGCATGACTTCTTCGGACTTAACTTGGT